AATGGTATTAGAGGTTTTATACATAGAACCTCTAATGGTATTAGCGGTTCTTTATATAATATCTCTAATACCATTAGCGGTTCTATATAATTTGGTTTTACAATTAGTGGTATTATATAATCTAGTAGTTGTGAAAGCTAAAGTAAACGAGGTAGCTTCAACTTGAAACCGCTAATGGTATTAGAGTTTTATGCATAGAACCTCTAATGGTATTAGCGGTTCTATATATAGAACCGCCAACATTGTTAGCAGTTTTATATATAGAACCGCCAATATTGTTAGCGGTTTTAAACTACCAAATTCCAAACCTAGGAACTGATCCTACGTGGACGGTATTGTGGGAGATAGTTTTTAAACTGACTTATATTAGGAATTAATTTGTATTTTAGCATTATTTAGGGAAATTGCTCTAATTAATGAATACTGATAAAAAGTGGTGGGTAGAGTTAGTGTGTGTAAGTAGGATCCATTAGGTGCAATATTTGGGGTCTAAATGGGGAAAAATTATGGACCTTAATGATTAAGGTTCTACACAGGAATAACATTTAAAAATACTGAAAGTAAAGCAGGAACAATATATAATGAAAATATACAATGAAAGAATTTTTTATTGTGCATTGACAATTGGATTTGGAATTTTGGATTTACAGTGAATCTAGTTATCCCATATTCCGAGGTGAGGTTTAGAGATAAATATGATTGATGTGCGGTTTTTATATTTGTATGGGTCATTTTTGTTACGAGTGATCACTCTGATGTTTGATAATCTTGAATGTATGTACTCCAATTCTCTTTGTTTGGTTGCCTTTAATTGAACCTGATCATTTTGAGATCTATTTTCTTCTTCTTACAATTGAAAGATTTGAAACAAGGCTTCAAAAATATCCCCAGTTGTTTTAAGATCAATCTCCTAGTACTCTTCTCGGCACTTGTCATCAGACTCTGCCTTTATGGTAAACAAAGAAGAGTGGCTTACACTTTTTTTTTAAAAAAATCACAAACTCACAAAGCACATCATAATGTTGACTGGGAAAACAATTAAGTGCTTGACATGGAGGCAGAGAAGTGAGCTTCAAAATCACAAACTCACAAAGCACATCATGTACTTAGTACTCCATATATTGAACAAGCTAAGTTAAGGAGTGGAAAAATTTGTGTTTCCATTTTTAGATAGTCAAGCTGTTAGCTTAGACTTGTTATTTTTCTTATTTGATTTAAACTGATTTATTTTGTTTTCTTCCTTTAATACTTGCATGACAATACATGTGACATGTTAATTAATTTTCCAATTAAGTGAGATGCTCTAGAAATGCAAGTAGTGTCTCAGGATTTGCCACTAATACCTAGGATTTCCGAACTAAATCGCTTGACTTCAAGCATGAAGTATTCTATTAAATTTTCAATCAGGTGCATCTTTAGAAATTGCATAATTGCATCATGGGGGAGGATTACGTTTCCTAAGTAGCATTTTAAACCTTAAATATAAGTATTTATGTACGTTTATGATTATAAAAAGTTGATATTGTGAAACCGTATACTGAGATTAAGGTAAGAAGACTTTACATGACTACATTTTTCCTTGCCTATAAATCACAATATGTGGTTGAGGGTGTGTGAAATAGTATTGAAAGTGCTAACATTGCAATGTTATAGAAACAGAAGAAGAAGATAATAATTGAGGATAGTATCTTATGCATTCATCATTGTGATTTTTTTTTTCTCCTAATAAACAATCACAAAGTTACTATCTACTATGAGTACTATCCTTTAGAGCTTAGGAATGCTCCTACGACAAGGGAACTACAGAATTAGGCTTCAACAAGGCTTGAATTGTGAGACAAATTTTTTATTTGACTTTAGATGTTGTGTATATAATTATATATGAACCATTGAGCTGTATCTTTAGAAATGGCATATTTGCTTGACATAGTTGTGTTGGATAAACAAAAAATAGTATCCTTTAGAAATGCTTAACTTTGTATAAAGTTGATAATTAAGGAATATCTTTAAGAATTGTGTGTACTAAATGCATCCTATATCACTATTATCAAACCGCATATAGTCATTAGTCAATAACATTTTTAGGAAACCAATAGTATCTTCAGTACTTCCTCTCTCCCCTATCTCGAAATACATACTCTTTACTCATGTAGGATAAAGTAAGACAGTGAGTGGAAAGGTATAAATAATATCGGAACTCTTTGAACCAGGCCAAAATGGACTGAAAGGGAGGGAGGATATTATATTTAGGCACCCCAAAAAAAAAAAAAAAAAAAAAAAAAAACAGATTGTTACATGTATCTGTGTGGCTAGCATTGTCTTTCAGTATTTAGATATCATTTTAACTTTAACATCTTTTGATCCGTGTTATCCTTATCACAGGAAGGTAAAAAAGGGGGTACAGATGAAGAGGTCAAAGAATCTAAGAAAGAAAAAAGCTATTGCAAAAGCGATTGCAAAGGATGAGAAGCACTCAGAAAAGGCTACAAAGCTTGAAACAAAGAGAGTGAGAGTTCATTCTGCAAAGTCCCTGTATGACTGACTTGCTAGATACACAAAAGTGTGATCTCGAAATATCCATGCCATCTCGAAATGCCATTTGCTCTGGCCAAATTTCAGAAGCATCAATCTTGGGCAGAGTCAGCTCTACTTAGGGTTATGGTGGGCCCTTTGGTCCGATTTAATGTATAGATTCGTCATAGCATGAGTTTATTACAAAGATTGCATCTTTGTTTAGGGTAGGTTGGAGTATATTTCACCAGGGTAATGTATGCAATTTTGATTATATGATCAAGCAAGCTCGCTCGCTCGCTCTATCTCTCTCTTACACAAGCATGGCTGTGTTTTCTTCTCTGTCCGATATTTGATTACCTGCAGAAATAATCTAGATACTTGCATATTCATATTTAATTTTGGATAGTTGGACATACAAAGCTTTGTGGAGGTTATCAGTTGCCTGCAAATTAGAACCGATAAATGATTGAAGTCTGTATCTTGAATCTATATTAACATTTTAACAGTGTGTTTGATAAAGGGGAAGAAAAAGGAGGAGGGATAAATGATTAGTCTTTCTTCCAAATGATATCATTTATTTACAATTTAATCCCTTTATTTCTCTCTCCTTCAATTCCCCTTTTTTCTCATTTGTTATCCATATGAAAGATTTTCTATTTCTCTATTTCCCTATAAAACTATAATTGATGATTGTAAATGTGATTTGGAAAAAAAAAAAAAAAAACAAATTAGATACATGAGATATAAAATGTGTGTGTTCTTAAATTAGCAATAAAATATTACTATATAAATTAATTGGTAAGTCATTGAAATTGCGACTAAAGGTTGTGGCTTGTGGGTTGAGTTTTAATGATTATTGAAACTACATTATTGAGGGTGAGTTTATCCCCACACTCAGACTTCAAACTCTGCTACATCAGTTTTCCACTAACTTTTAATTACTTTTTTTATTATTCAGACTTACATAAGACTTTTTCCATTTTCACACATTATCCCAAGACTCACTCCAAACTCACTCTCCTAAATATTAACATTAGTTATTCAACAACTTGTGTTGAGTTGGCAATATATTATTGGCCATGCAAAGTTTGTCAGCTTATTGCCCTCACATGCATAGTCTTAAGATAGGTTTTCATTTGTCAAACCGCATGCAAGACTCATGATAGTCTTTTATGACATTATTGCCAAAGTCTTGCATGAGACTCTTATTGAGACTCCGCTTCAGACTTGTGATAAAGACACCATGAGAATATGACATTACGTGATGCCATGTCATCTTTAAAGTAGGAGGAGGACAGTAGGTAATGTATGAAATGAAAGTGTGACATTGTTTGTATAGTTTCTTTGATTGATTAACTATTTTTTTTTTTTATTGATTGATTAAATATTGCTTACTTACCCCCCCCCCCCAAAATAAAATAAAATTGAAAGTGTTTGTTTGCTTTGAATTAATCCTTTGTCAATATGGATTGACTTTTGTCTTAATCATGTGTTCAATGTTCAAATAATAAAATTGTGCTATACACTAGTCATTTTTAAATTTGAAGTACATGGTATTCCCTTTGTCTCTATTTTTTTGCCCTATTGCAAATAATTGGGTTAAACCTCAAAAATTTTGACCATAAATTTTCACTAATTAATTAGAGATAAGATAGTCATATGGGTCTTGTTGGATTAGTTTATTTGTGTATTTTATTAATATCAAGTTTTTATAATTTTTACGAGTGTAGAAATAAAATTATAAACGTTGCAAGATGTGCCTTGAAAACTGTGTAAAGTCCAACAAAGCAAAAAAATAGGAATAGAGGGAGTAGGTAGTAAACCAAAATGGTAAACTTACCTCCACCTTCTCCTTTTTTATGTGGTTTTTGCTCATAGATATGGAACAACGAATTATATTGTATAATATTTATAAATGCCTAATGCTAACCTATGACTGAAATGATTAACTCAAACAACTTATATAATAAATTCTTGTTAAACAACTGATGCACCTCAACGCATTTCGGGGAGAACCAATTGATCTAAGTGAACCAATCAACAACCAACAATCGATAGCCAAACAATATACAGAGTAGAAGTTAATATAATATTATATTTTATATAACATAAAGATCTCTTGGAACCGGAAGAAAAGCTCTAACCACTTGAGCTATCCCTCACTCTATCTATTTATTGCAATTCATAAGCCTATGACAAATTGACGTATTTTGATTGTGTTTATTTTATAGAGCACTAGCAAAATCTTGCGCGAAAAAACTTCAGCTAATGAATCTATTCATAAAATCTTTATTTTAAATAAACCTTTGTTTAAAAAATTTCAACCACTCTGAATTATTTCATTCATTAAAATGCCATTGTGAGCAAACAAACTCATTGCGCGTGAAGACTTGAAATTATATTACTTGAACCCGAGAATCCATTTGAGATCCACCTCATCCAATTATACTTAAATATTTCCCATGTACCGGAAAACCTATGCGAGTAATAGTATTGCTGTTATTTGTATTAGCAATGTGATAATAGCCATGTTAAAATGTCGAGGATCGGACGCCAAGGTAAAATATAGAACCCGAGTTGGGTAGTAGCTGGGTTCATCATCCCTTCTAATTCTACTATCAATGTGCTGGAAAATTTGCAAATCCTAAACTTGAAAACCCATTTGTTATGCATGTTAAGTTCTGTTGCACTAAATACTTCAATCATACGCAGTTTTCTGCGAATTCTTGTGTTCCCAAACGGTAATATGATGATTCTCCTCTCTGCGGCGCCAAAGTTAGTTATGGGCAATCTCTCCAATGCTCAATATGGCGGTTTCTTTTGGTAATTGTTTATCTTTAATTTTTTTTTTATTTATACTTTCATGAACAATTTTTATTTTCTAGTAGTGTATGATCTGTGTTGCTTATAATTGCAATATTCATATTTCTATTTTAATTTTAGTTTAGATTTAAGAAATTTTGGAATTATTTGTGGGGTGATTGCATTTGGATTTTCAATAGCATGAACTTTTGAAATTGTGGGTGAGATTAGGTTTTGAGGTATTCTTATTAGAGTAGTGAATCAATTGTTTCTAAATTTGGGGATTGGTAGTTTTTGTGTTAGGGAATAGGACTTTTCAAAGCTCATATGATGTTGTTAGATAGACAATTAACTTATTTTAGCCCCCTCACTTTAAAAGTAAACTGATTGTTCTCTCCTTGGATGTTATAGGTTGCTCTCCTTAACTATGATGGAGGTTGTTAGGAGTATGTCGGGATCATTAGTTTTCCTGCTACTATTGTGGATCTCCTACTGAGTAAGCATGTAGTTTTTCCCGTGGGGGAATTATTTTCTGTTGTAGATGTCTACTGCTTTCCCAGTTATTGTTTGGGTGTCTCTACTTGGAGTGTAACACTTTAGTTTTCAAGGTTAGGCTCCAAATTGATAAATGCCTCTATTCTTGAGTGATTTATTGTTTTTAATTGGCATTTGATGATACTGAATTACTGATAAATCAGTAATTGATATATTGGGAGTGTCAGTAATTGATTTATCGAGAGTGCACACTGGCTGATGCATCTGTTTCTCATGACTCTCTGATAATTTCATTTAATGGTTGATTTGTGACATAAACATTTGATGCTGCTGACCTGTTAATTTCCAACGTTTGTTTTCTCTGTTATTCTGCTGCAGTTGTGTTACCAAATGGAATATTTTTCCATTTTGGATTATGAAATCAGAAGGTGCTGCCTTTGGTACTACTCTTATTTCACACAAACCAGATTGCTGATTCACAATATTTTTTTACCTGAAGGAATTGATCTGGTATGTCACCCAATTTTTAGAAGCCATAACATTTTTGGCTGCTGATTTTTTTTTTTTTTTTTTTTTTCTAATTTTTATTATGGTGGTTGATTTGATATCATTGTAGGTAGATGAAATCAAGGGGAAGGAGGAAGAGAAAGATGCCTATAATTTTAATTGGTAATTTTCATGTACTGCATATGTGTTTCTGATTTTGTTAATAATCTTTTTTTTTTTTTTCTTTGGCTGGGTAATAAGTCATGCAGTGGATGTATGATGAATTATCTAACTGTTTGCTGGATTAATCCAAAGAGGATTTTTTCTAGGAATGCTTGAAAGTCAAATCAGTAAACATGAACGAAAATGAATTCAGAACAACGATATAGAGAATTGCTAGAATAATTGCCAATATTTTCAGAAAACTTGTGTTGTAATATCATTTTGGTTAGAAGGTTACTTAAGGGCTTCATTACAATAAGAATGATTTTAGTGACTGCAAGATAAGGATACCAACCCTCAGCAGTTCAACAAAATGGCCAAGGGCCAGAGTTCTCAGGTTCTTGCATATAGTAATTTTCTATGATCTGAAACATGATCAATTGTTATCAGCTTAAGTGTTATATGTAAGCCGGTACATATCACTTTTTCAGCTTAGAAAATCAATAATATTATTAATTGGTTTATAAATGGTTGATATTGGCAAATTTGATTGATTGACTCATTCATGTCGTGTTATTCACGCTCCTTTTGAGCGATATTGCGATAAAGTAGTGCTTTGTGATGCATTAAAGCTACCTTGGTCACATTTGCAGCCACAATCTCAAAACCTAGGGCTGAGCTGTTGATTGTAAAAGTAGTATCATATATTTTCACATAGGTTTCCGTTATTTCCACTTAAGGTTAAGTAGTAGTATCTGCTATTAGTGTGAACATAATCATGGATCTAATTGCATACCATATAAAGCCATTGGCTGTCAATGTTGTCCTTATCTTTGCTTAGACAGCCCCTCCCCCCTTCTTTCACGCAGTTTTTACGTTATATTTGAAAAATCATGATTCTTTCCATAAATGGTTTGTCATTATTGGAACTTCCTTTACCTTGAGGCTTTGATAAGTGGGTGAAATCTGTATTTGCATTCTGCTCATTCTTTTGTTGGTTCTTCCCCTTTGTTTTGTGTGTAATTTTTTTTCCTTCTGCAAATTTGATGGCTCCAAAAGGCGATACATGCAGTTTCTGTCACCAATTTACGAGTACACCCCGAGAAGGATGGCGTTTAAGGAATTTTACCTACACAAAGCTTTGTGGTCCTTGCTTGTAAGATGTAGTCTTGAATACTGGAATCTAACCTTATGAATTTTTGTAATTGTTTGTATTTCTTCAAGTTGTGAACTTTTTATTTTAATTTTTTGTTTTTCTGCTAGATCGCTCATTTAAGGCTTTGATTGATTGATTGATTGCTAGATCACTCAATTAGTTTTTATCTTTTTACAATTAGGTTAATCATCTGCATCTGAGATTTTATCCATGTCATTTCTTTTCTCTCTTATCTCTGTTCTATTTGTTGATCTCCACATAACTCGTACTTTTAATATTCATATAGTGGTTTTGCTGGTTTTCATATGCAATTTTCATCCATAACACCTCATTTAGTTTAGTTTTATTTTATTTATTTATTTATTTTTTACTCTATATCTAGAAGGTCATATTTTCTTGTATTGCATGTATGTTGTTTTGTTTATAGATAAAGGGTTTGCTGGAGCATTTTGCCTGGGATTGTCAAAATTTACTGGAGAGGTAAAAGAAATTCTGTAAGGAAGTGTAAGTGATAAACAGGGAGAGTTTAGTTTTTCTGTTGAAGAAAAGAAGCAACGCAGGAAGGACAAGTAGAATGTTAGACTCACTGCTCTCCATCTAGTAAATTTTAGTGCAAATTCCACTCAAATTGTAAAACTCAATTGCAATGAAGCTTTAATTAGGATTGATGATTGTACTTGTGAAGTAATGAAAAATGGCAGTTGCCTTAATTGCGCTGTCACATATATATGGTGATGACAGTGATGATGAAAATAATGGAATTTGCTCTCTAGAATGTTTATTGTCTTTTTCCAAGGGATTTGCCGCCACCAGGCTTCATACTTGGAAACTATATTTTGCTACATATGCCATTTCAATATATTTACAACGTAGGGGAAAGCACAAACATTAAGGAAGCCATGTGATGAGGCGAGAGATAGAGAGACTTATGTGATGAGAAGAGAGATAGAAAGAACCAAGCAACAAATAAAGTAATGTTGTATTTAATTTGAAACTAGCGAAAAGGGGAGTGTTACAATAATAATGGATAGGGGGAAGTATGAACTATTTCACTCTTTAAAGGGAATATTTCATGTATAAATAAAGAATTTGCATGAAGATGCATGGTTAGGCATGATGGAGAACAAAGCAGGTCTAGCTGAATTGATTGATAGAGGTCTTATCCTTCACTGACAACAGTGGCAAGCCCTACTTCCCCCTTTTACTTACTATTCTATTTCTTCTTAGACTGTAAAGAGGCCAGCACCTAGCCATGCTTAAAAACTACCGGACACTTTATCATTACTATATAAAGAAAACAAAGTTGGTTAACGAAAGAGTGAAGCAAATGGAACCAAAGATAATGTTTACCCCAAGAATGGTACAGAAAAAATCCCCCAACCTAAATTATCCCGGTGCCTAATTAATTTTCTGTTCTTGCTGATACCTGAAGTTCAATTTTTCCCTCCATTCCAGATCTTAGGGTCTGAACTCTGGAGTAGATGCTTTTCATTGAGTCAACTAGCTTCAAACAACATGGCTCGTGCTGGCTCATTTGGTTTTTTGTTATTCAAAATTATTAGTTTCCCTTGTTGAACAGATTGTGATTGGATTTCAGCAGCATGCCAGCATTGCTGGGAGTTTTCTGCTTGTCCCTCTTTCCACTGTCTTGTTGAAAAAGCTGGATGTCCAGTAATTTAAAATTTTGATGTCTGTGGATTGTAAGTAGTAATATTTGGTAGTGGGATTGACCTGATCGATATAAGGGTCTGCACAATTGTTTCGGAATGTATCATGGGGCTGGAAGAGAACTTACAATAGTAAGACACATGTATGTATAGCTGTGGTTGTTGGAAGATTTGGTTATAATTCAAGTGACTAATTCTTCATAAATGATGGAGTGATAGCTGTATATGGTATTAAAGAAATAAGAGAAGTGTAGGATATTAAAATTGTTCATGTTTATGGAATTAAAATGATAATTATTATTTGTAAAACATTTTATAAGCTAGAATAAAGGTTGTAGGTGTGTTATGTGGTGACAAGAGACTCAATTTTTTAATTTATTTATCAAGAATAGTGTCTAAATGCCTATGGCCCAGGGCCCACACAAGGGTGGTTTTCCATAAGTTTTTATTCTGTCTGATCAATGATCATTACATCTTCTACCAGTCTAATTTCCTGGTAGTTTTTTATGTGTGACTTATGTACTTGGTAAAGACCTTAGGAGTATAACAGGATATCAATGTTCATCTCACAAGCTTGAAAGGGTGTATAATGGCTACTTAATTATATGGTATCAAGTTTGCTATAGTGGACAACTATCCATTATAACTTCGATTACTTTTCATATATGCTAAATTTGTCGTGATTACAATCATGATGTTGCAATGGTGCCATGTGCAGATGCTATGTGGCATTTTGCAGCCATTATGGTGTGGATTGGCAAGTTTGGAAATTTGACTTCAGGCTTCAGCATTGTATTCTGAAGTTACAGAATATGTTTCTGATATAATACTTGAAAGTATACTTTTTTAGATTTGATCTTTTAGTTTGTGGAAATTAAAACTCAAAGGTTATACACATACTAAATTATGTGTTTAAAGGTTCCTACGAATTATATGTGTAGTTCAACCATATCATTCTCATAATGGCTGTGATAATATATCTAAATGGCTAATGTGGTAAACTGGTAATATAATTTTCTATAATGGGTGTGGTGGTGTGAATTTTAAACATGTGGTAACTTGGCAATCCCTTACAAAACGAATTGAATTTGATGGAAGGAGGACCTTGACTTTATTTCATAGTGATATCATGGACAATATTTTCTAATTTATACTCAGTACAATGGTACACCTTTGGACAAATTCTGTTGAAATAGGCTGTGATTTATGTTTCAATGTACCGCTTTCCAAGTAACATTGCTACAAGCTATACAAGTTTGGTTTTTCTTTTCCTTAAAAAGAATCTTGGTTGACATCCTTTGACATTAGGGAAAGTGTCTGATAAATGTGTTTTGGAGCTCAATCTTTGTTAGGATTTGGTGATTTTTTAGATGTAGAAAAGAATGCCTTTAGTGTGGTGTATGAGTTAGTGTACTAGAATATTAGATGTGGAAAAGAATGCCTTTAGTGTGGTATATGAGTTAGTTCACTAGAATATAGTCATCTTCAATAATGAAGATATGGAAAGATTTGCGGCTCTTGTAAGTTTGGTTTTTTCTATTAATATTTAGCAACATTGCTTGATATGGATATCAAGTTGATTTTTCAATCTTTAGGAGTGAACTCAGAAGTCCTTGGAAGCCTCCCCTACCTGAATTTGTTAGGCTTAATTTTAGCAGTTCAAGGCATAATGATGGTTGATTGGCTCTGGGTTTTATTTTAAGGGATAGTCTGGGAAGATGCTATTGGGGGGCTCTAATTCCATTTCTTCGCTTTTTTCTAACCAAGGCCTTGGCTATACGAAAGGATATCAAAGTGCCAAAGCAGCCATTTTATTAGTGCTTCTAAGTTGGTCATCATAAAAAAAGTTTGATAGGTACTACTGTACTAGTGTGAGATACATTGTCACTTGTGATGCGGAAATGGATCTATAGTATTTTAAGAGCAACGAGGTTCTACATTTCTCTTGGAACGCGGATGCCAAGATCTTCGCTATCTGTTGTTATTCTTGTTAATCATCTGTGAGGCTGAATCTGGTCACTCCTATCTTAGGGGTCAGCCTAGGTTTTCTTTCCTGAAGCACGATTTACCTAGGTGACAACTTGATGACATTTTTCTGTTTGGATAGCTAGAACATTACTTTTGGATTAGTTGATGGGTTCTTTTCCTTGATCACTCTTTTTTTTCTATGCATCTTAGTTGTGTAATTCTGACTCTTCTTTTGTTAACATTGTTTTCTAGAAGCTACAAAGCTTGAGGTTTGAAGTATTCTCCTTCTGTGTACCATTTTTTAGCTACCTCATGTCTTAATTTATCACAATAAATGGCAATCTATGCTTACTTGACCACTTCATTTCATGTCAAGTACCCTTGTTTAGAAAACAATTTGGCATGGGTATGGATGTTGGATGTTTGACAGTTGACACTTGGCTTGGACTAAAACAGAGCTAAATATTTGTAGAATGTAAGAGTTTGACACTTAGAGAAATAGTATGTCCTGCACTACTAGAAAGGTTTAATTAACACAGGTCAAGGAAAAATGATGTCCCCAAGTCACTGACTTAATTACTTGTATCATCTTCTTCAGAAAACAAATAATAAGGAAAAATGACTTGTATCATGTCCTTCACAGGAAACATATAAATAAGAAAATTATGAGAACTGCCACTATCACTTCACCTTTGTAATATTAGTTTTACTGTGTAGACTATCCTTTTGGTTATCTTATGGCGGATTAAGCGTGTTGAATACATAATTAATGGTTTTATGAACTGTTCTTCATTGCAGTTTTGCTTATAGTGATGGGAGTTTTTGCCAAAAACATCATAGACATGAAGATGGATGGAGACAGTGTGATGTATGTGAAAGGGTAAGCTGGAAAGTTCTTGTTTTTTGCTAGTTTAAATTATGGTTATTGATCACAAGATTTGGTTTATTTGCTGGAGGAACTGCTAATGGGATCTTAACATATAATATTTGTTGACAGAGAGTTCACTGTGGATGCATTATGTCACTCCATCTATTTGAAACAAATGACACACGTGGTGTAACCTGCAAGAAATGCCTTGATAAAATGAGTCCTGTGGTATGATATGATTCCCATACTATTAGCCTTTTCATTGCTTCCTATTTTTGAGTCTCTTATATTTACAATTCATTAGAATCTTTTTATATATGATCTATATGGATGATATCTTTTGCGTGCTAATAGGAGTTAAGATTCTTATGTCCACTTATATTGGCATGGTCATAGTTAATAAATTAAGCATTCAGTAGAGTGATAGGTATACATGGTAACGGTAATTGTAAAGCTTTCACTCGATAGATGCACTCTGGAAGTATGTGGATTTGTAAGCTGTCATTAAATTTGTTTTCCTCAAAACTGCATAGGAAGCAAAGAAAACATCTTTCCATATGGTATTTTGACTTCCAAAATTGGAAAATGCTTCAGTTTGGAGTTTGAACCTCGCATAAAATACTACAGAGGGGGTGATATTAGGAGAGGGGATCCCTCTTTGTGTTTTTGGTAACTTATGTGAAGAATCAAATACTAGAATTAGATAATCTTAAGACCTGAAGGTTTTTCTAAATTGGCTAAGGGGTTAGAAAGTCTCTATCTTCCTTGTTTCACAGTGTCATAAGAGTAGAGTAATAATACCCTCATCCGTCCCTCCTCACACAATCACTATTTTGTCCCATCTACAATCACCCCCTCCAAGCTAAATTTTCTTTACTTTGTTAACGTTTACCCCCTTAATTAATAATCCCTGATTTAAGCATGCTCGAGTTGACTTTGATTCATTTTCTTATTTTGCAAGTACTCCGTTGTTTTTAGATTGTAACTGGCCTATTTGAGTCGCAAGAAGAAAGGCCACCCTTTTTTTAATTTTTTTTTATTTTTATTATTGTTGTTGTTGTGGCTGCTGCTGCTGCTGCTGTTGTTGTTTATACTTCACTTTTTCCTATAAGGACTCAACCAAAATAAATCTCACAATATTGTTAGTTAAATTTCTCATATGAAGAAAGGAAACAACTAATGCAATCATCTTGTTTAAGTAGCTCTGAACTTTCTTCTGCATTAGTAACCTGGCTAATGTGGTGTTACCATGAACTTTTTAACTTATGTGAAAACTTTGTTTTTCATTTTTCTATATTAATTAAACTTACTCCCTAATTTTTAGTTATTTGTGAAAGGACAACATGGCTTATTTAGTGTTTCTTGTAACTCCAAAAATTTTCCAGAATAAACTAATGCGAGCAAGTTGTTTGCCTAACAATGCTACTTTAAACTTAGGGTAAGAGTAAGAGAGTCCAACTAAATTACTTGTTAAAATTAAATCGGTAGAAAATTTGAAGCGCTGGTATGTGCCCTAGAAGAATATAGCAAAATGAAGCAAGGAAATTGGCTTGATTTATCGCTGAACCACAATAAATGAACTTGCCATTAGATCCTTGCTGTCATATCCGTATAAATAAGTAATTAACTACAAATCTTCCAAAAATGCTCCAAAAACATGAATTTTCCGGTCAATTTCCAGTTAAAAAATTTGTTTATGTTTTTTTTTTTTTTTTTTTTTTTTTCTTCTCTAAATTAGTTTGGGTTCTATCTCTTTTACACAGAATTTTCTTCATCCAGGGCATGCACGTTTTACTGTAGGACAATCATCCAGGTTTCTCCCTTGTTAAAATATCACATGGAAAATGAGTTGGATGGGACGATGGCCACTTAAATTCTGGGTGCCCGATTTTTTTTCCCTCAATAATGATTCTAATTGTAAATATTCAAGATAAGAATATGATTGAGTAGGAAATATAATTTTAAAAAGAAGTAACCATAGGAAATAAAATCTGAATATGAAATAATGCTAAACAGTATGGCTGCGGCTATTGAAATATTTTCCTTGGATGAATAGGTATTGAGATTGACCTCAAAAGAACCAAATTAGAAATTGTGAGCTTATATTCCATTGAGTTAATTGCTTTCAAGCTCAAAAATAATAAATAAGCTTCAAGCTTTCTCTTTATAGGATTTGAATCACTGCTAAGTTTTGTCTTTTACCATTTTTATATCTAATGATCATGGGCCACTTAGATAAAATCACCGTCATTTCCTTTATCATACCAAATAAGTCATGTTTGTTTTGGCATTAATTAGGATATATCTCAGTTCTTATAGCACTTCAAGTCTCTCTCTAATATCCTTTATATGAAATCTAATATCCTTGTGTGTGAGTGCGCGCGTGCGCGTGTGCGTGTGTGTGTGAGTGATACAAGAATTTTGAAGCTTTCTTCCCTCCGTTGATAGTCTTATTATCCATATAATTTAGTTGGATTTTGGTGTAAAATTTTAGGTATCAATTAGAGGCACTTCTTCTTCAACTTTGGATGAATCTTGCAGCTCTAAAAGCGTCACTGGTAATTTCTAATCTCTGTGCACTTCACAACCTAATGGTGTATTGTTGTGTGTGCATATGCTACATCAAGGTTCAATAGATTTACTGTGATGCTTTTGTTGGACTCCAGACTAACCCTAATCTTGCCTCTTTTTTTTTTTTCCCTTTTTCAGGATTATATCTTTTGGCAGCCATTGGGAGTGCTATTGAGTACTCCGTTGCAGACCCTACTATCTCTGCCGAACCCACCACTGCTAGGGTTGTCTCTGCTAATCCCACCATTAGGGATGCCCCTGCTGATCCCACCATTGGGGATGCCCCTGCTGTCAGTGAGGATGATCATAACCCCGCCACTATCATCGGGGATGCCCCTGCTGACCTCGCCACTGGGGATGCCGCTACAGACAATTCCATCATCGCGGATGCCACCTTTGCTGACCCTGCCACCAGGGATGTCCCTGCCAAGCTAGCCATCATTGGGGATGTTGTTAACCCCTCCATTCCCGCCACCATCAGGGATGCCCTTGCTGTCCCTGCCAACACCAAGGATACCCCAGACCCCGTCATCATAGGAGATGCCCCTTTTGCCCCCACCATCACCAGGGATGCTCCTAGGGATGCCATTATCGGGGATGCCCCTACCACCATTATTCAGTATGCTCTTGCTCTCCCTGACCCAACCATCACCGAGGATGCTCTTGTTGACCCCACCATCACTGGGGATGGTCTTGCTAATCCCACCGTCATCGAAGATGCCCTTGCTGCTCCTGCCATCATTAGGGATGCCCCTGCTGACCCCGTTATCATCAAGGATACCCTTGTTAGCCCTACCGCCACCGGGAATGTCCTTGCAGACCCTTCCATGGATGATGCCTCTGCCGATCCTATCGTCGGGGATGCCATCAGGGATGTATCCGTGGACCCCTCCACCATCAAGGATACTTTTGTGAGCTTTGCAATCATCGGTGACGCCCCTGCACACCCCGCTGTAAGCGATGCCTCCGGGAATGCCTCCTCTAGGGACCCCTCCATCATAGGGGATGCTTCTGCGGACCCTTCCATCATCGGGTATGCCTCTGCTAAGCCCACCATAATCAGTGATGTGGACCCCGTCATCGTCGGTGATGCCTCTATCGATCCCACCAATGTCAGGGATGCGGACCCCGTAATCATCAGGAATGCCATTACTGACTTCTCCACTAGGGATGACTCTACTTTCCCGGTCGCCGAGGATGTCTCTGTGGAACTTGTTGCCGGGGGTGTCTTTGGGGATCTTGCCACTGGAGCGGACCCCACCATTAGGGATGCCTTCAACTCTATTGAAGATGGTTTTGCCTCCAACCCTATTGACCTAGCCACTGAGTATGCTTCGGTATACCCTCCTATCATCGGGGATGCCTATTTTGATCCTATCACCGAGGATGCCTATTACCCTACCATTGAGGATACCTTAGCAGACTCTTTCACTGTGATTAATTATGCTTTCTCTTCTGTTGACCCGACTATTGGGGATAACTCTGATGTTACAGACTCTACCATCGGGGCTGTCTTTGGCCCTGCTGCCACCTCTGCTGTTGCCACTGGGGATGACCCTGTTGCCTCTGCCTCTGACATTGGGGATGGCTTTGACTCTTCTACCTTCAGGTGTGCCAATCCTGTCATTGGGAATGCATGTGCAGATCATTCAGTTAGGTATGCATCTTTAGAACATCTGATGTCCTATAGTTCATTATGTGCATAATATGATTGATATCCATCTTTGACATTCATATAGATATATATGGAGTACATTTCTTTTAAATGAATTATAATGTTTTTGTCTGACATACTAGCATGATATCTAGCCTGTATAGGTAGTGAACTAGTGACATTAATTAAATGATAAACATATGTTATGTCCCATAAATTGATGCAAGTGTTTCTTTTGCAATGTTCCTACACATGTCCTTTGTCCTCTTTAAGAAATTTTCCATTAGGTCATCCCTCTTCAATATACAATTAAGAATGTGTAGTTTGGATTAACCAGTGCCTTGGGCTGAGGAAATGGAAGATGCACTTTGGTGGTATGAGTTATACTAGTCAAACCCTCAAATATGTTGACTCCATTTGAGGACTACAATGTCATCATGTCTTTGCTGCACCTGAAATTTTATCATTTATCTGAACAGTTTTTGGCTAAGGCAGAGAATACTCCCTCTGTCAATCTGCAGTCCAAAAAATTGATTTGGATCTCTAAGGTTCTTCAGTTGGAAGCATGTAGACTATATCTCTTTGTAATCTTGTATGATGGTGGCAGCATTAAAGTAAGATGACGCACAAGCTTGTGTCAGCTAGTGCCATTAGCCTTCTGCTTCATATTAGATTTTTTTTTTATTTTTTATTTTTATTTTTATTTTTTTTTTTTATTTTTATTATTATTATTATCATTATTATTAATTTTTTTTTATATTTATACTCCTGTAGCAAGCTTATGGCAATTGGTTAGAAAGAGTTTTTGCAATCTTCCTGCAACATGTTCATGGCACCTAAATACATTGTAACAAATTTGCAGTATCCTTAGGTTTATAATCTGCATTATCCCCTTGAATGAGTTGGGTCTTTTCTTCATTGATCTTTCTGCTCTGTTAACTGAGTTGCTTTTCTGTATGTACTTGGATAACAATACTGTCTTATGGTGGTTTTATGTTTGAATGTAAGGATTAGGTTTTATTATTCCTGCACACCAAAGCTGTATCTAAGTAATTTCCTGATTTTATTTATTAATTTTGCATTTCTGTGATTTGACCAAGTCTCAAAATCTTAATTTCTAAAAATTTCGTGCATTTTCTTGAACTTGGTTGCACTTCTATCTCTTCACTTGGCCTACATTGCTTAAACAAGATCCAAAAATTTGTTTACTGTGGAGTATTCATGCAGGTTTTATTATTTCAGCAGGTTCTTTGATTTGTATTTTTGACTCCTCATATGGTAGCTTAAGATCTTTGCCATAGTGATACCATGTCTAAAATGTGTTACCTCAAGTTGCCAACTTTGGCACTTATCTCACACGGTTTTCTTATGAGGCATGGCTTTTAAATCAAGATGAAGTCAATAACCAAAAAAGGAATCCTTTCATAAGGCAATTATAAATCGATCCGACTTTCATGAAATCATGCATCTGAATTTAGATCTACTGTCCACATTTCCTTGGGTCTATATCTGATTAGTTGAAACGTTGGTTTCAGAAACTCGTTTAGCGTGGTTGTGAAATGAAACTTATTGATGTTCTGTAGCGGAGTTTAATTTTTTGTAAAATTAAACTGAATCTGCTCTATAAGACACTAACACATTTTTGCTGTCATTTTTTTCAGTGCTGTATCTGCTGAAGGACCTGAAGCTCCTGAACCCGGGACTGATTAGTGAGCTTAGAAGCCCTTGGTGCAACCTCAGGCATATGCTTCTTTGTGCCGATTGTTGCTTCAATTCTTCTTAAATATGAATAGCATAAAAAAAAATAAAAAAAATAAAACTCCATTAGGTGAATAAACTTGTGCTACTTTGCTGGTTTTTATATGTTTTTCTTTTTTCTAGTCAGTTCGTGGGTGTTTTCAAAGATAATACTGGCGTGTTTAATATGAGATTGGTAAGACCTAAAAATTTATTTTGGACCTACAATTTCGTGTAATTTTTATTTTTTCCTGAAGCCTCTTTTGCTTCTTATTACTTATTAGACTTCCCTGCGACCCTGCCTTAGCTCTCCAAGTTCCAATGGTATACGTCAACTTCAAAAGTGGATGTGACGTAATTTGTGTACTTCTTGTGGCACTCGGATATGTGAAAAGCTCAAATTCTTCGTGAAGAGGAAATGTTCCTAAGATAATACGGAGTACAATTTTTGCCTGTCTGCTACCATTGCTACAAATTGAACATTCTAATTTGAATGGCACGAACTCAGGACCGTGTTCAAATCTACCAACACAATGGTTAATAATTTCTGTTTTTCTTTTACCCAATACACACACACACACAAAAAAAAAAAAAAAAAAAAAAAAAAAAAAAAAAAAAAAAAAAAAATCTACATTAGATGCCATGTCTTTTTTAAACTGTGGAGAATTTCCAATTATGCCATGATTCGCAGAAGTGGAAATGGAAAACTGGTAGTAAATACTCTCTCTGTCCCAGATTACTTGCAACATTTTGATTGAACACGCTTGCCGATGCACATGTTTGACTATTAATATCTTTTATTATATATTTATAAAAGGTATAAAAAGTTTATATTAAGAAATTATACATTAAAAGAGACCCAACAACATCTTACATGATTACATTGGCTTTCATATAATAGTTAGAAAAGATGGTCAAAATTAGATGTGTGAATAGTGCAAAAAGTCAAAATGTTGCGAGTAATTTGGAACAGAGGGAGTAGTAATTAAAAAATTAAAAAAATAATTAACAAAATTCAATTTTAGTCAGTCAGGAAATCATTTTTATTCAAATTTCTCAAGCTAAAAACCACTAATATATGAAGTACGAAGTATTACTTTAATATATTTGTAATCATAAAAAATTGTGTTTAACTTAGGAGTGTTTGGTTGGATGTAAAATGTTTTTACTGTATAAAAATAATGTTTCCGGTTTCTCTAATTTGTAAAATGATTTTATTGAAAAGGAAAAAATATCTAAATTTTCACTCTCTCCCTCTTTCCTCCGATAGTCTCATCTATCTTCATCCTTTCATTTTCATTTTCATTTTCTTATAAGAATACTATCAAAGAAAAAGTAGTTTACGATTGTGTTTTTACGTCAAAAATGTTTTTCATGAAAAATATCTTTTTGTAAAAAAAATTGTATTTCATCAAACCAAACAAATCTTTCATTCAAAGAATACTATTAATAAAGAATAAACATTATTTAATGTATATTAAGTTGATCCATACAAACTCATACGGAGTAATATTTTGTACATCGCATCGAACCAAAACAAAGTTGTATCTTCTTGTTAAAAAAAAAAAAAAAAAAAAAAGTTGCTACTTAACTTACTCACAATAAATAGAAAATTAACAAATCTTTTAAAGCTTATAATATAAAAAAGAATTATTCTCTCGTGGAGCTTATATTAACACACATAAGAAGAGGGCTAGGGAAACGAAAGAAAAATCCAGCCATTACACATTTCCTCTTCTCTCTCTTCTAATTCTCTCTGCAATTTTTCTTTTGCGATGAGTTTGTTGGGTCATTGCAATGGTTTCACTGGGAATTTCTTCAAAATTTCAACCCATAAATTTCATGCTCAAACTTATAATGGTCAGTCTAATTCCTATATCTTTCAAATGCAAAATTCTCATTGTATTTGCGAAAAGTGAAGTTGGGTATTGGATTTATTTGTTTTAATGTAAGAAAACTAATCAATTCTACTGTTTTTTTTTTTCAGTGGGGAAAAGGGTGCCCATAAACATGTTAAAGAGGGATTCAGGTGTACAGAAATATGTGCAAGATGATGTTTTGATGTCAAAAAATGATTTGAAGAGCAAAGTGAATGCCTTAACGATTGTGAATTCATTGGCTGGTAAGCCCTCTATTAATCCTTCCACTCGTAACTGGATATAATACGTATTACTTCTGTCCGGATTTAGTTGTCACGTAACTCAGTTCGAATCACACTACCAACTTGTCTGATTTGATTTTGGACTCATGTAATAATTAATATGACTTGCTAAAGTTTATTGACAATTTGTCTGATTCTTATTGTTCAAAGTCTATCTTGTTCCTGAGCTAAGTGATTTTTATTGTTGGCATTTTTTATCATTGTCTCGAAATGAGCATAATACTCGAAATTGATCAAAACCTATCATTGGATACATCTAGCTCTTGGATACTAAGACTGAGGTTCTGTTCTTCATGATATCATTGCCAAAGTAGTAATTTCGTAAGTTTACTTTAGTAATGAGCCTCTGCGATGCATGTGAATTCGTATTACAGTTGAATAGTACTCGGTGATATAGTAAGATTCACAATAGTTACTGTAGTTTAGTACAAATTACAGTTCATCACTGATGTTTGATACATTGGTGCTCACTTACATAATTTTTTTGACAATTGCAGTAGTAAGTTTGCTTGCGATAGACCCAGCAAATGCCATCCAAATGGAGGATATAATGTACGATTTCTCTTCTTTGTTGTGTCTTGCTGTACTTTATTTTCCTCTTTCATACTTGTGTAAATACATTCAATGAATATTTGTTGCAGGCCTACTTATTGTCTTATCCCATATTGTAATGTTTGTAAAGGGTTTTTAGGCCTTTCATAACATGTAGTTATTCAATTGCGAAAAAAGTTCCCCTTTCATCCACCAGTGCTAATTTCTTTTTAGCTTAATAATGATTTAAGACAGTCATCACTTATTCACTTGAATCATCCAAACAATTAGATTACAAATATAATGTATCATGATATACCTAGATTTCATGTTTCTGAAAAACTTAAGTAGTGTAAAGCTGTAAACTAATATGCTATGTGAAGAGTTCTACTGTGCTATTGTATAAATGCACTATGTGATAGATCGTAGTTTTTCCCCCTAGTATGATATGAATGACCTCAGGGACTAGTTTATTCTTATTCAAGACAGGATAAGGCGGCATCTATATATATGCTAGCTGATGGGAGTATTGGAGATTGGTTTGGAGGTCTATTATATTCAGCTGGGCAACAAGCCAATGAAGCTGTTTTGAATCAGTTGTCAGCTCTTAGTTTTACAAGGTAATAATTCCTTTGTCTTACGAGCTGCCTGTGATATGTTTCATGTTAATATCTTGCCATTGTTTTAATGTTCTGTTTTTTCTATCCCTTCTTTCAGTTTGGCTGTCATTTTTGGAGCTGGACTAGTAACCAGTCTTTCCCCTTGTACATTAAGTGTTTTGCCGTTAACACTTGGTTATATTGGTAAGATCTTTTCTTTATGATAATTATATCAATTTATGCTGCTTCAATAGAAATTCTACTATGTAAATTTCCTATCAGAAGTTGATCATATTCATTGAATTTGTTCAGGTGCTTATGGCTCTGGGAAAAGTCGTGCACAGGTGATAATTTATAGAAGGAAATCATTTTTTTAATGATAGTGCCATTGGTATAACAAAATGCTTTTTCTTATGAAGTGATACTCCCATTGTTGAAAAAGCGTGAATGAAAAGGAAAGTAGAGGCTAAAAGAAAATTAATACGAAGTAATTTTCTTACGCATAGTAATTTGTTCGGCTATTAAAATTGATAAAGGATGAAACTAATGGACATCATCCCATCCTAATTTTACATGACTAGTAGTAGTTATTGAGTTGAAAGCCCTGGATCTCAATGTTATTTTGCATAATTTTTTAGGCCATGCTTATTTAACCATATTAGTGCATTGTACAAAAAATTCCATCTTTCCACCTTTGCCTGTTCAGGTCGTTGGTGATTCCATTGCTTTCGCATTAGGATTGGCTACTACACTAGCACTCCTAGGTGTTGGGGCTTCTTTTGCTGGTAAAGCTTATGGACAAATAGGCAGGGGATTGCCTTTGGCTGCATCTGGCCTTGCTATAGTGATGGGCCTTAATCTTTTAGAGGTAACTTTATTATGTTTTAGTGAATTTCTAATCCTGACTTAGTTACTTCTTGACTCGTCTGACATTATTTTCCTCTCCTCTGCTTGATGTCGCAGATACTTGAGTTGCAGCTTCCATCATTTTTCAATGACTTTGATCCCCGTGCAGCAGCTGCAAACTTCCCCTCAAGTAAGCATATAAAACCTTTTGTTTTTACTGAACAGCTGAAGCATATCCCTAGAAATGGCCTGACAAGTGAAGCTATGGGAACTGTTATTGAATGCCAGGTGTGCAAGCATATTTGGCTGGTCTTACGTTTGCTTTGGCCGCATCACCCTGCAGCACACCTGTACTGGCCACTCTACTTGGTTATGTGGCTTCAACCAAGGTATACTAGATCTTTTCATGAAACTCATATGGTGAGAGTATAATTTTAATGAGGGTGCTAGTTGAATGGGTAGATGCTTACTATGCTAGGATTTCTTGAATGCTGTATACTTACTGATTTAACTATAACCACTTTCCACCTCAAATAATCGTGTAAATGGAGCATCTATCACAAACAAAACATTTGATAGTCATGTGTGTAGAGAATAAAGTTTGTGGAGTAGGTGCAGCATGATTTTTACTTTCTACAACCTTGCTGCTTTGGTCCTATTTACTATCTTTATGATTATTTAACTTGAGAATTTTGTGTCAGGATCCTCTAATTGGGGGCAGCTTACTGCTGACCTACACTACAGGCTATGTTGCTCCTCTGCTGTTGGCTGCATCTTTTGCTGGTGCATTGCAGGTACCGCTTTCTTTCCTTTTGATCAGATACTTGTGAAGACAACCTTTTGTTACTTTATTTGACAGTGAAAGGAATCTATGTTTTGCATGCTCATGACGTATGAGTGTTAAATAATGGCTGGTCAATAAATTCAGTAATACCACCTCAATTCACGATTTATCTTAGTTCACTTTCCACAAATATTGAGAAAAGTGGAAGAAACAAAAAACCATTAAGAACAGCTTTTTGCAAGGCAATGCATCAAATGCATACAGTCCGGTTGAAGAGGCTCATATACCGAACGTGATGGAATAATACCAGGAGCTGGTCATTGTGAAACTGAGGACAATTGTTGAAATACCGAGTGTGTTGAAAATTTTGAGATTAGTGTAGTAACATAAGTGTAATAGGTCCAATAATTGTGGCCCAAGCAACCTGTTGGGGTCCTAGATGAAAAGGTTTTTTATGTCAGTTGTCCTTTCATGCCATCAGGGAATCAGGATCTTAAAAATATGGAAACCTAATCAGATCAACTCAATATCATTTTCTCGGTAAGACAGCACTAGAATTGTTCCAGAAAGAAATGGATCATATAGGATCATTGATAATTTACTCCCCGCTTCATCACCAGGATGACAACTTGCAATTCAAAATATATCTTGGAAACATTATGGGAAGGTGGCTAGTATTGGATGAAATAATGAGAATTTTACTCCATAGAATTTTGATTGACTGACAGAGGAAATGGTCTCAATTTTGATTGGATTTCCTTTTAAAGGAAAAGTGGTTTCTAGAGTTTTTCATAGTACCAATGTGGGGAAGGAGGTACATTCTGAATATCAATTTGTCCATTTAGTCTAAACCCTATCAGAACATCATCCACAAGAAGAGACTGATACACCTCTAGTGTCATGAAACAAGAGTAAAAGGTGAAACAATTTCATGTGCTTTAGAAGCGTAAGAGTTGTGTTTCCTATGGAGTTTGCTTGATGTTGACTATCACCATACAAACATATTCTTGTCAGAGTTGTCACCATCTTGATCCACATTTCGTAGTGTGCCAAATTTTATCAGCTATGAAGAGTAAGTGATACACATAGACAGCCATGATAATTTGTCACTCAATTATGCCACTTCCTTATCACTTTATAAACCCATTCTCTCCATTCCATCCCTTTCCCACTGAAAGGAAAATATTAGTGGCTACTAAAGAGATAGGTACCTAATCTTGATAATGTCAAGCATGATCCCAGATAGTTTAAGGGCTAGCTTATGCTTCTCTTGGAGTTAAGTGTGATTCCTGCAATCCCCCAGTCTGTCCCCGTCTCAGAGGGTCATGTCTAAGAACTATGCATAAGATTTGTGTGGAATCCTTCTGCTCAACTTCATTGGTTTAACCTCAACTGGGAAACTACTGAGAAATGAGAAATTTATTGATTTAACAGCATGTGTGCTTAATTATACTAAAGATTAAAACAAATCAGGAAACATTGTTGTAGGAAACCATTTTCTCCTTGCTAACCACTTGTAGGAAACCATTTACGACTTTAGAGAACTGAGAAGAGTGCATACAAAATCAACCAATCCTTGTGGGAAATCAGGATCTACCCGGACATGATAACATAATGAGTTCTCATTGAACACTTTGCTTTCTTTGTTAAAGTCCTTCAAAAGGTTTGTGTTTAGCTTTACAATCATTATTTTCCTTCCATGTTGCTAACCGTCTTATTTATCTGCAGAGGTTGCTTTCATTTCGCAAGTTTTCAGCTTGGATCAACCCACTAAGGTACCTTGGAACATAGTTTTTTCAGTTACTTGATTTTTCTTTTCCCTTTTGGTCACTTTGTGTCTTGGAGTTTGATATACAAAGTATCATTTATGGTCTATATCATTTTTCCGGTTGTCACTTGTATTATTGTTTCCTCTCTGCTTGAATCTGATTGTGATTGCAGCGGCGCCCTCCTCCTAGGTGGAGGTCTGTATAGTTTGCTGGATAGACTTTTCCCTACTACAACAATGGTGATGTAGATACCCAGAGCTAAAAGTTTTAATTAGATTTGTTTGCAAGAATACATAGTATTATCTTCGTGTGCCGAGGTATATAAGATCAAAGGTGCCAAACGTCGAATCCAAGTTCCTGTACACTTTGTAGGACATACAATAGTCAATTCCGAATTCCGAGTGTAAAACTTAGTTTGTATCAGCTAACATACTTGAACCATGTATATCCAAGTGTATGCTAGTAATTATCAATCCTTACTTTGTCAAATCCTCTGTAGCTGACATTTTTTTTTTTGGAGGAAATATCTTTTTCTTAATTAATCAGGATTAATTAAATTACGGAAAATCACGTGCTAATGAGATCCTCTCGATAATGAAGGATGGGAAAAGGATTTATTGTGTTTTGCAAAGTTTTGTTTAATGGGAGGAGGCTCTACTTGTAAGTGAATCTCACTGTCTATAAGATTGTACTTTGTATAATGGTGTACATCAAAGGATCTAGTGATAAATTCTAAATTGACCTGGTAAACCAACCTAATTTGAGTTAGACGACCCGAACAGTCCTACACGCACTTGAATATTGATTAAACTAGATTGCCCGATTAATATTATAGACACTCATCTAAAGTTTTACAAGGATAAAAATGGTTATTTCTTACACATATAACCTGGTCTGATTTGCTTTGAGCCTTTGAATGATTAAGTCTCTTGAGTATGTTTCAAATTGAATTACATTAACCATAACCAATCTAATACAGTATACAACTATATTGTCATCTACCCTGACTTTGAATTATCGTGTTATCACATTAGTACACAATGATTTATGTCCAAAACATGTTGATTATACGTTATACCCGCGTGCATAAGTACGCAGTGTCAATTGTTTGTTTTAACACACGCACTTAAGTAACATTTCACTCACCATCAAGAATGTATTTGGTAGACTAATGCACCGATGCATGTACCATTGCTTAGATAAGGCAAAAATTGGATGACCAAGGACCAAAACACCTTATTTTGTTTAGCTATACTTTTTAGGCATTTGCTTGTTTATCCAATATTCTTAACCATCAACATTTTCTTTTGTATTTTCCTTGTTTGGCTTGTAAAGAAGGACAATCTAAAGATGTTTGAGGTCATTGAGAGTTACACATCATGCATAGTCACTCGTCACTAATCTATGCAAAGGTCAGTTTTATATCTTTTCCTTTGGTTATTATTGTAAGATTACGACAACTAAGTTAGTTTTCAAAATAAAAAAATAAAATAAATAAATTATCGTGCATGTTAGACCGTTAATTGGAGAAATTAACTCTCCATGTCATGAGAGTATCTTGTTTTTTATTACATATTCATCGGTCTAATTAACATTTTTGTGTTGATCAATCTGGTTTTTTACTACTTTTAAGAAAAATAAAACAAACCCATCTTCAACCATCACACCACCACCACCCAAAACCCATCACAGCCACCACCATCTCACCGTTTTCTCGCCTATCTTTTCGTCTCTCTATCGTCCTCTTCTTCTTATTCTTCCTTTCCCAACAACAATGGCCTTAAAGTTGCTTTGTAACACCCTAGTAGTAAAGACTAAAGTAAGGTCATGTAACCCCTTAAGGAAAGCATCTCCTTTGCGGCGGCATCTCCATCTCAACAACAATGGTGGCTTGTGGGGGGAAGGGTAAATCCCGTGGAGGAAGAAGGTGGAATTTTGAGCTACCATGTGGGCGTGGTGAGAGAAGAAAAAATGGTGGAAGAAAGGATTGTAATTACAAATTTGCCCTCAATTTCATTGATAAAATGACCCATTTGCACCACAAAATCACTAATATACCAACTTGGTTTATCACAATAATGAACTTGTATTTCCTCGTACATAAGAGTACGAAAATCATTATAAAAAAAAATGTGGAAATATAAACCAAACCCAATATGTATAATTTGTAAATTGAGAATACAATGCACTTCTTGATCACAAATCAAACATTATCATAGTCAAATTTTATGTCAAATTGATCTAATGCTAAAAAAGATTTGAATATCATATTCATGTAGGAAAATAAAACCATTAGTCTGAGACACAGAGACAAACGGGAATCAATTAGCAAATTTGTGTATATTGAACTTTTTTTTTTTTTTCCTTCGATACAACATTTTTTTGCAAACAAATGAAAATTTCTTGCCATATTCGCAATTTCCTTCATAAAATCAAATTAAACATAGCCACTAGAGAACCAAAAATCAAGCTAATTACAGGGTTCCAACAATACCAAATTGATTTCCTGCTAGAATTGCAAAAGAAATCTTTGCATGACCTAGCTCACATTTGAACTCTCAAAATCCCACCCCTTAAAAAAATAAAAAAATTTAAATCCGAAAAAGATAATTATTATATCTTTTTTACATTTTAATTTTTTTCATTACATCTAGTGGGACCCACGACTAACCACCTCTTTGTATTGGTTAAGTGAGTCTTGCCGTTGCAACCGCATCTCCTCGTTAAACTTCTTGATAAACGCCTCAACACGGCGGTTCAACTCGTCTTGACTCAGCGACGGCTCTCTCCTCAGCCTCGAACTCGCACTCGCCGGCGATGCGCTACCTCTTCCGTTGTTGAAAGTGTCAGATTTCTTCATCACCTTGACCGGAGACTCCTCCGGCGATGCTCCGGCGAATGTGTCGGACTTCTTCAGGTGACGTGTCAACGGCATTGACCGTCCCTCTGTTATCGTCCGCCACGTGGACTCCAGTGTCTCTTGTTTTTTTGGCCTTGATACTTTCAGCACTGCTTTTCCTGCTCACAAGTGTCATTTGTTACCGTTAGAATACCGATTGAAATTCAAATTTATTCATCATTTTACCGTTGAAATTAAAAAATTTGAAAGCAAACTAAAATTAGTTGTCTTTCTGAAACAATTTACTCTACTGAAAAATAATGACAGAGTTGTACATAAAACTGTAAAACAAAAAAAATGTCAAAATCAAACCATTTGTGGATAATTTTAAGCTAAATCGCTTATTCTAAATGTGAAATCAAATCTCCTCTATATTAATCCATATTAGTTACTTCCTTGTAATTATTTGTACTCCATACAATATAAATCACACAAAAATCTGCAATACAGTGAACTAATCCATATTCAAAATACAACTGATTTTAAATTTTCAGCAAGTATTACAACAAATTAATTTAGTTTTTAGAAATTATTGAAATTAGTACAAATGAAGAGGAGAGAGAAGATTACCTTCAGGACTAGCTTTGACAGCTCTCCGATGACCAAACCTCGCCGAAAAAGACGGTTTCTCCGCCGAAGACACCGGCGAAAATTCCGGCACCACCACCGGCGCACATTTCTCCGGCGAGTTCCACACCGGCTTCGACAGCACAAACTCATCACCATCCTCAAATTTTTCTCTCTCCTCCACGTCATCACTACCACCTCCAACAACTTTCACAGGTTCATCCATTTTAGTAACAATTGGACTGTCAACGTATCCGAACACCACCACATCATCCTCTTTAGCGACCTCCATTACCGCCACGTGTACATCTTCACTATCTGCCACCGGAAAACTCGCCGGCGCCGGAACTAGGGTTTCGGCATTGCCATCACCGCCACGTGGCTGAAGCTTAGAGGATGCAACAATGGAGATGATGATGCAGTTGATGAGAAGGTACATGTATGGAGGTCTGAGCCATGAGAGTGCTAGCGACCAGAAGAGAGGAAGCTCGGAGGTGAGGAAGTCTAAGATTACCGGCAGTGGTAGTTTGAGTATCACAGCTAGTGAAACGACGCCGGTTGATACTACCACTGCTTTCAACGGTAACATTCCCATTTTTTATTTTTGTAATTTTGATTTTTTTTTTTTTGTTGGGTTTTTGTTTCTTGTATTTGTGAAATGAAGTATGAACAGGGTTTAGGAGAGAGAAAAATGGGGGTATATAAAGGGGGAGACATGGAGGGTTAGGGATTTGTTGGGGGTGGGTGATTCAATGTCAACCGTTGGATTGTGAGAGCGTTGATTTGATGAGTGGAATCTTACCGGCTCACCGATTATGTAAGGTAGACGTGACACGTGCCATTTGGGTAGATTATCTACTTTTATTGTACGAGGATGGTTCTTTTACTTCTCAGTCTCCAAAAAAAAAAAAAAAAAAAAAAAAACAAAAATTAATAAGATAATCATCGAACTCTCATAAAGTCATAATGCGAAAGATTACATCGTATGCATAATTTAGTCATACTCTCTCAGGTTTTTTTAAGAATCATATAAGATTTTATACTATGTATAAACTTTTTTTTGGGTGTTTAGATAGCCATAAGGATGGGTGATAGAGAATCAATCGTAACATCTCTTTGATCCGGGAGGGGAACTCTAACTCCTTGAGTTATCCCTCACTTTCTCTCATGCACTAGTTACCTTTGACTTAGGAAAATTTGTCAACTACAACCAGTATAAATAGTCATTTTGCGGGTTACAACCATTTAAGTTAATTTTTGCAAATTACAACCAAAAAAAGCTACTCAATATTTTAAATTACAACCAAAATTCAATTTCCAACCACTGTCATCATAATATAACGTCATCAATCAACTAATTATATAAAAACAATAACCCCTAATCGATACTAGTTTGAAAACATAATACAGTGACGTTATTATGGATGTCAACGGGGCGGGGCAAGGGGATGGATGCTAGCTTTCTTATCCCCATTTCCGCCTAACATTATATTCTCATCCCTATCCCCATTCTCATCCCCATCCCCGTGGCGGGTCCAAAACTCATCCTCATCCCCGTGCCGAATCCAATTTTAAAACCATCCCGCCCCACCCCCATTTGGATATCCACCCCCACTTAAACCCCATCCAAAACTCGCTTAGTCCCCCGCCTCCCAAATACAACAACACTACATAATATATACTTCCTCCGTTTCTATTTAGTTGATGCGTTTAATTTTGGCATACATATTAAAGAGAGGAGAGAGAATTATTAAGCAAGTGGGGTAAACTAAAAAAGCAAGGTATAAAACTTACCCAAAAAGGAAATGTGTCAACTAAAATTAAACTTCCTAAAAAGGAATACGTGTCAACTAAAAAAAACGGAGGTAAGTATTACTGTAAAAAAAATTCATTGTTTATATTACACTTTTAATTTATTTTTTTTATTTTTTATTTTTTATTTTTTATTTTTTTTTATAATATAAGTGTATGATAATGTATTAATATTTACTACTTTATTTTACATAATAATTTTTTTTTTATATGAAATAGTATAAAAGTATACAATTTTTATAAAAATATATAAATGGGTATGGGGTGGGGATGTGGAGGGAGCGGGGATGGGGCGAGTACAACCTAAAATCAACCCCCGCCCCATCATCCATGGCGGATATGATTTTTATACCCATCCCCGTCCTACCACCCGCCAATCCGAGACCCATCTTCGTCCCATTGGGGCGGAGATGGGACAGATCTCCTACTTGACCCGCGCCACTGACATCCCTAGACGTTATCGAAAATTGGATTTTGGTTGTAGTTTAATATGTTTGGTGACTTTTTTGTTGTAATTTGCAAAAATCAATTTACATGGTTGTAACCTGCAAAATTGATACTTTTACCCATTGTAATTGGCAAATTTTCTATTTTTTTTTTTACTACAATATAATTTATAAACATGATTATGTAATATATTTTTAGATTTATTACAATGTCTATTTTCATGAAATAATTTTTTAAAATTTTTAATAAAATCTAATAAAAAATATTGAGGGTCAAAGTTATGCCTCGACAAGTGTGAAAACTCAAGTGATGCATTTAAAAATAACAAAGTGAATACATTTCTAAATTATTACTATACCAAATTAAAAAGGTAAAAGCTAACAAACGCTACAAGGCGTTGAATTAGATAACTAAAAGCAAACATATTAGATTAAAATGAATATAAAATAAACTGACGCGTGATTTTGACATGCATTTCCAAATTAATAACACTTTAAGAGATATTTTAAATGCTTATCTAACATCCGTGTCGTTAGCAAAATTCAATTAAAAAGATATTTAATGTTTATGTTACTCTAAGAACATACTTGTATATCATTACCGTTAATTGCAATTTAAATATTATATGGAAAATGTATTTTGAAAAACTATTAATACACCTTTTAACTAAGATAGGAGTTATTGACCATTGCCAAAGTCACTAGCTTGTAATTTTTGGGAATTTTCTAATAAACAAGGGTCACAATGAAATGGAAATGAAATTATTGAAAAAAATCTTCGAGGCGTGAACGGGATCACTTTCTCAAAGTATAATTTCGACCCTATATTACAACCATGTACCACGGAAATTACTCAGGAGATACAACTAAGAACAATTACTATCACTTATAGGATGATAACAATTCAATGTATTAAAGTGTGTTATATTTTGTGATAATGAACAATCTGATTATAACTTCCTATGTCAAAGTGATCAGATAGAAATTATATTTCATCTCTCAACCTACCTTTATCATGTGAAGAGTTTCTCATATATATAAGATAGTAGTATGTCACTGCATTTTTCAAACGTAACAATGCATTAAGTCATGCATTAAACAATGCTTTAAGTCATGCATTGAACAATGTATTAAGACATACATTAAACAATGAATTAAGACATGCATTAAACAATGCATTTAGTCATCAATTAATACATTAAGTTATAATGCATTAAGTAACTGCCATACTAATGCAAGAGATACCGAAATCGAAATCCTATGTAGCAGTTGCAACATAATTAGTGACGAATCAGCCACTTTCTTTCTTTCTGTTGATTAGTTGTATACTACTACCTTAATCATATGTTGTCTAAGTCGTGACACCTTAATCAAATGGCTTAAACTTAACATAACATGAATAATAATCAACTACATACTCTAAATTCTCCAACAATCCTCTCCCATTTAGAGTATTTAAAACGATTGATTGCATAAACACATCATCATCACAAAAATAATCTTATGCATACATGAAAGTGTACAAAGACTTGAACTCCCACTTAGTGCAACATACAATCCAAGAATCCGTCTCCATTCGGTATCGTAAAACGTTTGAACCAAAAGCAACACATATTGGATACTTGAAAATATTACACATACAAGATTAATTACTTAAATACATATTAACTTGACACTTAAGCCATGTGTCCATATTTATTCATAAGTACACCGAAGCTATGCCCATAATAACTTCTTGAAGCGGCTAAACCTCATACTTATATAGGTAGATTTCCAAAACATGCTCCTGTGACAAAGCACAATATCAGGAATTCTATTAAGTTAAACAACCTCTTATACATCACAGAAAATCCGGAACTTCACCTTGGATGAATAAACAAGTTCCCAATCAGCAAATGAAAAAGTTAATCTTATTGAACTTAAGACCCAACGTCTTATTGGGCGTTAAGTTAAGACTCCCTCATTTGTAATTATTTAGGGCTCCAATCCTAAAGCGATTACAATCCTATTGTTAACATCTCTTGGCAATGCCTTTGTGAAACAATTAGCAAGATTAAGATTTTTTCAAACATAATCAATAGTGATCACACTATCCTTGATAGGGCCTTGAATGTAACTATGCCGTACTCCAATGTTTCTTGACTTACCATTATAAACTTGGCTATAAGCCCTTACCAAGGTAGCATTATTATCACAATGTATCACTATTGGTGAAATTGGTTTTGACAACAAAGGAATCTTAAACATGAGATCCTTCAACCATTCAGCTTCTTTACCAGCCGAATGCAAAGCAATGAACTCCGATGTCATTGTGGAGTCCGCAATGCAATTTTGCTTCTTAGAAGCCCATGAAATAACATCTACCCCATATAGGAAAACCCATCCACTTGTGGACGAATGATCTTTATTAGAGATCCAACTTGCATCCGAATAAACTTCTACAACCGAAGGATATCCACTATAAGACAAACCATAATCCATGGTTTTCTTCAAGTACTTCAACCGCTTGCCAATGTAGCATACTAGGATTACTAGTGTACTTACTTAGTTGACCAACTGCATAAGCAATATCTGGCCTATTACTTATCATGGCATACATTAAACAACCTATTACTTCAGCATATTCAAGTTGTGAAACCGCATTACCTTCATTAGGTATTAACTTTATGCTAGGATCCATAAGTGTTGAATAAAGAGAATTAGAGTCATCACTCACATTAAATTTCTTGAGCACAATTTCAATGTAATGAGACTGTGATAAGATCAACTTTCCTTTTCCTTCCTTATTCATATGCCCAAAATGACATTTGCTTCTCCCATGTCTTTCATGGAAAACTGAGAACTAAAGAAGGATTTTGTCATCCCAACTTGTGACAAATCCGTTCCAAAGATCAACATGTCATCTACATATAGACAAATTATGACACCTTGACCGTTGTCATTAAATTTGCTATAAATACACTTGTCTGAATTGTTCAACTTCAAACCATTAGACAACACAACCTCATCAAACTTTTGATGCCATTTCTTAGGTGCTTCTTTTAGCCCATACAATGATTTAATCAACTTGCAAACTTTTCCTTCTTGACCTTTGATGAGTGACATTTATGTTACCCTTAGGGGTAGTGTATTAATCTTTTTTCTCCTGTTTTTCTTAGGTTTTTCTACCTCTTTTCTCCTCTTATGGCTTCCTTTTCTTTTATGGATGAAAAGTATGCTTATTTGCGCTTGTTTTGATAATCTTTATGCATAATTTTATCATCCCCATGCTCTCGTGATCTTTGCTATCTTTTGCAGGTTCCATGACGGTCCTAAGCACGGTAGGAGGCCCCTTGACCAAGTATGGAGGCATGGACAAAGACAAGAGGAGCAAAAGGGAAGAAGAGGAAGTTCAAGAGGAGGTGTGGCCGAACCTCTAAGAGGTTCGGTCGAACCAAGGTGTGGTCAAACTTTTGAAAAGTTCGACCGAACCTCCAAGGCAGTTTCAACCAAGTTTTCAGCATGTTTACAGGAGGGGTCGAACCAGGAAAGTTCGACCAAACAAGGATCAGGGAGGTTCGACCGAACCTACCCTGAGTTCGGCCGAACCTACCCTGAGTCCGACCGAACCTACCCAGAGTTTGGTCGGACCTTTTCCCGTTTCAGCTGACTTTTTGCGGAGCTTCCTAAGCAATTTTGTAAGGGGTATAAATAGTTTTTTTTTGCTCATTAAAGAAAAAGGATTTTTTTTTCAGTTTAGAATAGATTTTTAGGTTAGTTTTAGGTTTTAGAGAGAGAAACTCTCAAAATTTTAGAGAGAGAAACTGAGGAGCACAATGGTTTTCATGGATTTTGGATAATCAAATGAGGAATTTGAAGATCTCCACCTTATATCAATGAGCATTTCTTACTTTCTCTTCTCTTATTGCTTTATTTAGTTGCTTTCATTATGCTTGAGTAGTTTCCCTTCTACTAGGTGTTGAGTGAGGCTTTGTAATGATTATTTGAGTTATTTGAGATAAATTTGATGATAATTGTGTGATTAAATTGATTGAATTGATGTTGGCATGTTGTTTGTTTTAGATTGGATTGATCTCCCATGATAGCACACTTAATTGCATATTGGTTTTAGTTTGACAAGGGATTGTGAATTAGAATTGATATATTTGATTGCATTTTGGGTAATTTTCTTCTATGCACCTAGTCAATGAGGGATCTAGGCTAGGAATTTGAGAGATTACTTTTGAGTGTAGTTAATTCTCATTATAATTCTTTCTTTGCATGATTGATTATCAAATGGATTCTCATTAGCTTATTAATTGTTCTAAGTGGATCTTTTCCCCTAGTAGACTTTATCATACCTTGTTCTTTATATGTGTTTTAGTGTAGTTGTAGTGTCCTTTATCCGTAAATCGACTTCGGCATAGCTTAGGCATTAGAT